CTACACACACTCACTGTATGTGTGTTATTGAATATACTGTTGTATATAGTATATTCAACACAGTACAGTATGCTGTTACGCATACTATTGTATACTGTATGTAGTGGCGGAGGGAGTCACCAAATCAGCTGTTGCAGATGTCAACACCCACACACCCGCAAACCGAAATAGCCACAGATTGCATAATTCACTCATAATATAAGTCCTTGGCATCTCAAGCATCCTAACACTTCATTTCAAGTCCATGCGAGTAATAATGACAGCTGAAATAAATACCCCCGCCGCAGCAAACCTGCCGTCTAAGCGAATTCCCATTGACTGAATTGATTTTCAATTGATCTATTTAAATAACATTAGGTTTAACGAGTACCTAGGTTTGGTGCTACAAGGAATCTATTAAAGTGTGTGTTTTAAGTAAAATAATTATTGCTTAGTATAAAATGAAATCTGCCAAGTTTGATCAAAAGATATCCATAAACAAGCAAACTACAACATTTTACAAATTCTCCATAAGAAAAACATGGGAATTTTAAATTTACCATTATTTGTGTTTTCTCCGTAACCAATAACCGTACAAAAACACTTTGATATACTGAATTGTTTGTTTTTTTAAGCTCTTTAAGAAGATTTAAAGGAAAATTGAGAAATTTTGTGTTTTGAGGGTCAAAAGTGAGAAAACCCCATTTTTACCCCATAAACCCCCCCCCCTAAAACCCTGTTCCCATGCTCCGATCATGCTGGATCGCGAACTCATTCAAGTTTATCCCGCCTTACACCTTCAAACCAAATTTCATCAAAATCGGATAAAAATTACTCAAGTTATCGTGTTCACGGACACCTATATATATAAATCTATATATATATATATATATATATATATATATATACATATACATATATAAAAATTTGAACGAATGGTGTTTTTGGCCTCTGGGGACATCAAAATGAAAAAGTAAATCGGTCCCGGACCTAAGTCTTACCATGAGACCTACGGTAATAGCTACTTCCCTATAGGGAAATTCGCTAATAACTTATAAATTAATCTTAGTTTGAAAGTCATTGGTGGCATTCTATTGGTAGTGTAGTCTTCGACAACTAAACCATTTGAACAGGATAAATTTAGTAGGTAGTAAGCTATGTTTGACTAGACCTTGACTAAGTTTATCAACGAAAAAAGAAGACATGTGTGGTCCTCGAATGGAACCCGCCTCTTATTAGAAGGGATTTTATAGGGGTGTTATACTTTTTTAACTTTTAACCTTAAAGAATAAAACTTTGTAATTTCTTACAAATCAATTAGTAGAGCTAAAAAATAATAATGTAGTATATAGAACTAACCGCTATATAGAAGCGTCGTTGTACGCTTAATCAGCTAAAATGTTACGGAGAAAAGATATATAAAAAAAACTATAAATCTAAAATGTTATTCTTAAAGAGAATAAGTAAACTGTTGTAGTTAGCTTGTTTATAGATATATTTAAATACCATTTGGCAAATTATTATTCATATACTGCTGAATTTTTACTCAAAACAAACTTTACTATCATCCCTGTAGCAGCAAACCAAAATACCCATATAACTTTATTTAAGTAAAATGGGAATTAATCTCTCATTATGAAATTTTAAGAAATATTTGAGTGCAAATCAAATCAGGAAAAACATTGGCTCAATCTACAAATTTGCTGCGGCTGGGGTATTATAATTACCTTATCCTTTTATTTTCATTGTACCTTTCTATAGCTAAGTGAGATTTGGGGTGTTTATTATCAGCTAAATTGATGTGGGAACACCTTGATGCATGATCGCCGTTATCGCCCCTTGTAGCAGGTTTGAGACTTAATTAATTACATTGTGTTTACCGTGGAGTTTGTGGGTCTTAGTTCAGTAGTGAGGTGTCATTAGCGGGTGTTTTTAAATACATTATAATTTATCACCCATTTTTGAGTTAGTGCAACAATTGAAACTAAAGTAGAGAAATGGGAAGCTAGGGAAATGGAGAAGAACTATATTTGCTTCAAAAGCAAAGATGCACCATTTTCTTTATCGTCTCGGGTTCCGCAAACGCTCTTATCCATTTCCGACATATGAGAGGTGGCGTACGCTTATTTCTATTCTATGAAAATATATTGCTACGAAGATCCTACTAATCGTTGTAACACTTTTATGATTATTATGTTATGGTAGTTATTTGTTGGATTATTATGTATCTACTAGCTATGAGAGAATAACATAGTTGTTTCTCTATGGTAAAACCAAGCGAAAAGAAATAAAAAATATGAAAAAAGGAAATAGAGAACTCACCAGATTAATGATATTTTTACAATAAATCAATACTGCCCGTAACACAGTTGGATGATATAACAACCCCATTGTAAGTAATACCTTGATATTTTGCATTGGCAAAGATTACTCTGTATGGCAACGGCATTTTAGCCAACCGTTCATCCAGCGATTGGTGATAACGTTCGGTGTCAGTGCTGCAGTGCATGTGAGTGAGTGGGCAGCAGCAGCAGCAACAACTCCAGGACCGGTCTGACCCACGCCCGCGCCAGGCCACTCTCCCTCTCGCACTGTCACTACGCTGGCTGGAGTAGACACTGGGCATGTAGAGCTGGACAACGTTTGGGACTTTTACTATATATCTGCTATAGAATTGTAGCTGATGTATAAAGAAAGTGACACAAGTGTTAATATGCTAATAATTACTATGTCCCTAAAAGAAAGTGTATACCTTTAATACAAACACTGTTAGAGATTTTAATGCAATTCGATTCCATTTTTTTAGACATTGAGACCCACATTGGTTTGTTCTGCTTAACTTGAACACAGGGTGGATGTAGAATGCAAAGAGATGTTATACAGATATTTCACAAAAACTATAATTAACATTAGTAATTTAAACCGTGTAAATCTGCCCCTCAATACGTTTTCCATGCCGTTCCCTAGAAAACGTATTAGTTCAGTGCATTTTAAGATAAGTAATAAAATTTTGATTATACAGTATACTGTACCGATATCAACCCAAGAGAGCCTAGGCTACAGTGTAGTCTAATTGATTTTATAATAATTTTCTACAATATTGTTACTATTTGTAGGCATTTACATGGAGATTTACAATATCCAAAATGTCGTCAATCGAATGTATGTGTTGATTCAAGAGAAATATTATAAAAATGGTGTCAACACCCATTGAGAGAACCGTTTGCAGATAATGACTCACACATGGGAATCAGTTTTGTGATGAATTCTGTTTGTTGTAAAAACCTTTGAAGCTTAAATATTAGAAGGGTTAAAAGGATTAATGTTGATAAAAGGGGAACAAGAACACCCTTTATATTCGGCATATTGTCTTGTTGTCAATGAGGAAAGTCGTATTATCAAGTTTGTGAGGTTTTTCTGGGCAAGGGAACACGGTTTATTACTTTAAACACGATAAAATAAAGGAGTTTTCAAAGTTTGCTGATAAGCTGCCATATGAATTGCTCCTGTCAACTGATTTTATCAGAACTTTCAATAATATATTTTGTTCTTACCGTCTACGCAAGGGGTGATACTGACTGCACTACAGCCGTTTCGAAGATAACTCACATCTTCATGTGCGTAGTGGTAAAACTGTAGTCTTGTTCTTACCTATACTTAACACGATAAGTCTTAATTTGCTTATTGTCAGGGGCTAAATAAATATTAAATACATAAAAACAGGACGAACACACGATAACACACGGAAACATTTAGAGCACATGCACGGCTTAACAACTGATGACGGAGAACTTTCAAATTAAGATTGAAGACAACTCCAAACGTAGGCCTACAAAATAGTCCAAATAGGCAACGAAGACAAAAAATACCAAATGGAGGAAAAAATCCATGAGTTAGCCAAATTTGGAACAGTTCTAGGGGTAAGGGTCCTTAAAAAACATACAAAAAGTACCGACCCGTGCGGGTGGAGCTAAGGAGGCTAGGGTCTACTAAAGGTCCCCATTTTAGGGTCTTCGTAAATAACTGAAAAAAAACTTGGCCTCCAGCAAATGAGTCATAGAGTTATATAGTTATAGTTATACAGAAGATATTTAACAAAATTGAAAAGCAAATTCCCATTTTATCCTTATGTGGAATAAATAAGCTGTTGGATTTGGCTTGTAAGATTATTTTTATCATATTTGGCTTTTTGTTTTATAATAGGCTATTAACATGTCAATATAAACTCACTTTATTACCGTCCATGTAACAGCTAATCTAAGTACTCATAAAGTTTAATGTTATTTAAATAGGGAGTAAATTTAACTATTTCAATGGCATATTTTTGTGAAAATCAAGCCAATTTGGACATTTAGTCTGCAGTTAGCTGTGGTGCAGGTATATATTTCCATGCTGTTCTCAATAATATTTTATGTGCGTTTTTCAGTTCTGTGAACCTTTTGGTTATTGAGCTAGATCGTGGGAGGCCATCATAGGGATCATCCCTTCTGACACCTGTGCCATATTTGAAACTCTTATATTAACGAAATGTTAACCAAATATTACGTCTAATGAGACGTAATATTTACAGTGTGTTTGTGTGAGTTTGTGAACGTGCCTGGCGCGTCTGATTGTTCTGGTCTCCACTCCACGCACTACACACCCGGAGTTGGTGAACCCGAGACATCGGTATCCCAAGTGTCCCAAGGAAAACTTGACAATCGTGTCTCATCTACATCAAGGACAACATATCAAGACGAAACAGTAACTACGAGATATTGACTCATTCTCTGAGTTTTGAACGAATCTTCGTCTTTTTTGATAAATTATGTCCACAATACCAAATTTGCAGTTAGCTTGGTCGCGATGGTCTGATGGTGCCGAGAGTGGAGTTGCAGGTTTTTGAGAGAAGATCGGTGGTCGTCGGTGGTGTAGTGGCGGGTCGGTGGGCGGCGTTGCCATGGTGACCGTCTGCGACGGTAGCGCTACTAGCGGCCGTAGCCACACACCGGACTCTTCAGTCTTTGTTAGTGTTAGTCAGTTAGTCTTACCGTGCCGCTCAGTTCACAGCCATGTGTGAGTGATCTGTTCCGTTAGTGATCGATAGCAACAAGGACGATACGCCACGCCGCTACCACTGCCTGACCTTACCACTGACCATCGAATCTAGGTAGGCTACCCTCCAGCTCTCTGCACGCGGTGTCATGTGTGTACACTGTACAGCAGCTTAGTACCAACAGCTAGATATGAAATGCGTCAACCCTGGCGTGGGTCTATTGTCGGCAATCGTTTTGACTGCTTCTCATTTAGTCCTATATGTATAATTAAACTATTACTTCAATATACATGAACAATGGGGTTTTAAACAGCCAATCCGCTAGCTTGTTTGGATATGTGAAATTTTGTTGATGACTCTCCTTGGGCCGTACAACCATTCTCTGTAAAACGAATAATTTATTTACTTGCTTTCATATTAATACAATAATGTATTATGTGTTTTATAGAATAACACACACAATTTACTATGACAACAATCAATAGCTAAGAAATTCGTTCAGTTCATCTATGAAATCAGAAAATAAACAACTGAATCTTATTCTTAGAGATTTCATTTGTGTGTAAATGTGGATGATATTTTCTACTCTCCATTCACATTTCACAGTAGTCAAAATATAACAGATACCTACTTAATTTTCTTAAAATTCAAAGACAATATTTTAGCAGGATTTATTCAAAATTAGCGAATCAGATTTAATCCAATAAACGTTTGTCTGAAAAGGAACGGACTTCCTAAGTGGAGCGATTGGCCTGTAACCAAAGTTGTAACTTAGAACAGAGAACCGTCTGTTTGCATGACATCGTAATATCACGAATGGAGATTGTCCATGGAACTTAAATATTCCTCTCAACTCAATAAAATATCAGATTTCCATGAATCTTCACAAACTTCGAGATCCGATGATTTCAATCAATATTGCTTAACAATAAGGTTTCCACACGTGTTCCAAATTGATTCAAAATTAAAATCCTTTCAACACTTATGTCATGGACCAATCGGAGACATGGGCAAAGACACAGCTGAAGTCTACAAGTATATCTATATTCCGTAGTCAATATCACGATGATCCTCATCAATCATCAACCTCCAGTTATCACATTGCAGCAGCTAAACCAAAGGTGGGAAAATTATGATGAGAATCTGACTCTGATGAAAAGTTTGACGAGCACAATACGGTATATCATATTGTGGAGACTCAGATTGGAAAGTGAACGACATTGCTTCGGACCAAAACATATAGAGGACGAAGGATAGAGCTGTGCTGAATGAATATGATCATTTTTATATGGTCATTGATATGATGTACCCAAACAACACTTGGTACTATACAAGAATCACAGACTGCATTTGTGTTTTGATGCAAGGGGATGATTAATTTGAAGGTTTGTGTGAAACTTGAAAGATCCACATGTTTATGCTCTATAATTGAGAAACGATGGAAACCCCTACATTCTTCACTCGATTAATTTTAATGTATGTATTCTATTATTATGGGAAACAATTATAATTATTTGATTTAGACACACAAACAGCCACTGTATCACAGGAGCCAATGTCTGCCACAACGACGCGAGCGTTGCGCGGGTATCGGTCCTGCCTCAATCATCTCTAGTCCTCCCTACACCTGAGTCAACACACAACACTCTCTACTCTCTAGCTAGAGATGGCCTCAAATGTGTGAAATACATCCCAAAATCCCAATTATTTTCATATACATGGAATCATGTTTTTTTTTCTTGCGAATTTAGAACATGTAGACTTCAGATCTCAACTAATGTTATTTATCAGTCACATAAAATACACTAGGTCTATAATACTTGGAATGTTGAGTACAGTAGTACCTTTTAACCTCCTACTTTAGTTCACACTTTCTAAGTCAACTTGTAAAGATGGTTTTGGTTACCGTATGCTGTATTATACTTAGGCCTACTAAAATAAGTTGCGCAAACAATTAGTGTTTTGATACAAAAATAATGAGTGTTACTGTATATCCAGTCAGACTATGAATATCTGACCTAAAATGTTCCCCAATGTACTGCGTATTCAATTATACCTCTGCCACTATAGATTCCAAAAGTGTTTCCAAATTCAGTTGATCATACCTAGAATAGAGTTTCATATGTATCCTAAATTAATAACGACGGGCAGTTTCAATTTACATCAATGTATACTTTGCTAAGCTGAAACGTCAAAATATTAACGAGATTTGTGTTTACGTTTTCCATTACTTCAAAACAACGGATTGTGATGTTATTTTGTAATTGTGGCAATAATGATTTAACAATCAAAATGTATTGCTTAGATAAAAAGTATATTTACGATGTTCAATTTTTTAGTGTTGTGTTTAAATTTGAATTGTATGCAATAATCTGTCAAGAAAACTATAATATAGTTAAATCAAATATTCAGTGACCAGAGAACAACCAACTAATTGATCTATTGCGTTCATAATGGAAATGAGAACGTATAAAATAGGCTACATTAAGTGTTATGTTAAATGTTTACCCCAAAACATAATTTGCGGAGGCCTGGTGTTTTATGTTCCAATAGTACGCGAAATATAAATACCTAAAGCAACTTTTATCTATATAAATATCAAATCAAACCAATACGATCCCCCAATGTAATGAACCAAATGACTCGAGTATACTTGTGTTCACCATCAACAATCAACATTACATAAAATTTTAAGTTTTTCTGCATTTTTAATTCACTCTCTTTCTATACTTAAGATGAGAAACATACAATGATACAATGGTATTCAATTCAGTTGCTGGGGATTTCTGAAACAAGAAACGTCACATTTTGTCCAGAAATGCACTACAACTGTTCTGACTACAGATTGTCTGAGAGTTTGTTTCAAACATTGTCTCATAATATTGTACAATGGACCAGAACACTCCAAGTGAACTATCCGCTAGAGTCGCCTGTTGAAGTTTTTAGACATTGGACAATACTGTATTAGGTAACGCTCCCCTGTTCTTTTCTCCTTAATTTAATCTGGTAGGCAAACCGATTTCTCTCTTCGTTGCATTTCTTACGGAGATTAATTCTAGATGTGTAGTGCATAAACTATCATGCTTACCTTTCTTTACACACTACTAACTACTTGACTTCCTGATATCACTTTCCGTTATGGTGAAGATGATGCATGTTGTCGACTAACATCTTAACAGGAGCAGGTGTGTCGTAATTGGGATTGAGTAAAGTTCTAAGTAAGCTTATTTCGACAAAGACACATAACAAAGGACGATCACGTGTTATCCGAGTTATAGATAAAGTTATAGATTATTGTTACGCGTCCATTAATTAAGAGTACTGGAAAATAGATCGATACAAGATACTCGATGTTGGTTGTTAGATGTGATGTAATATTATGTTACAAACATTTTTTGCAAATGCAACTTGTACACTTCCAAAATCCCGAAAATACAAAAATTAAATAATTTCTGTTCAATCAAGAAACTTAACAATATAACACATAAAAAATTACCAGATAAAAAAAAAACTGGGTTCACATATTACAAAAATTAAACAGCGTGTTAGCATCCATAATACGTTACATCTGCTCTACTTTTAGCGTTTATATTCACCATTTAACACTGAAATAAAGTTTAAATTATGCTTGAAAAAATGTTAATGAAATTGTTTGAAGAACCTTGATGAGGTAAATACAAAAGCTATTTCAGACAAATTCTGCTTTTTGTTTTTCTTTGAAAATCGCTCCAGACAAGAAGAAGTTGTGTGGCTGCCAATGAAATGTGGAGCCTGGAGACCTCCCAGACTCACATAGACAAAGACGACGATCACTGTCACCGACACAGGGTGATAGTTTACAAAACACTAGCTTAGTCTCTATTGCTATACAACAATTAAATTAGTGTTATGCAATCATTGTGTACACGCAACTCCAAGCAGAGTACAGTATATTATAAAATTATTGCTAGTACTGTACAGTACAAATTTCCAGGCCCAATACAATTACTTTCTACGCAACATCTTCTATAATTCCCAAGGTTTAAACCTACATATTTAACTTTTTAGTTTCTGAGTGCTGGCATGAGTCAACGAACATGTCTTCAATTCTCCTCGAACTTTAACATGTTTCACGTATTTCATAAATTGTGTGATAAATTATTTGGTGGATAGGAATACTTTTTTACTCGTAGAAAGGCGATGTATAACAGAATAATGATTAGTTTCATTAAACAATTTTACAAAAATAAACTTATTACAAGACGGATTTTTATGTTCAACGAGTATTTTTGCATATAAAAAATACGGCCCATATTCATACAGTATAGGCCCTACCTATATGTATTGTAAACCAGTTGTTGTCTAATATCTAAGAAAGAGTGTCATTCAATACGGGTATTTGTTAGCAATAATTGCACTGCCAGAACCTCATTAAATTCAGTTTTGATCTTCTTAAGTTAATCTTCTTGTTAGCGTAACCTTGACCTTTCGTTGAGTTTAAAACAGTTTTAAAAGTCTGATTAAATACACGATTTATAAAAAAAATTAACATTATATTGATGATGTGACTTCTTTATTACCAACATTTACAGTAGTTTGTTCCGAAGGTGGAGTGTAAAAACAATAGTTTCGAGTAAAAGTGTTATATTTGCGGTACAGTCCGAGTTGTTTAGGAAGTGTGAAGTGGGTCGTCGTGGTCCTCCAGATTGTGATGAATATAGAGCGTAGAATCTCTGCTTCAGGAGTAAGACTAGCACAGGTCGGTAGATTGGCCCTCAGCCTACATACCTCCGGAAACCATTCTCTCACTCTCGCCGCTCGCCCCCCCCCCCCAAACGGATGAATGGGCAAATTTTAATCCGTGATCGCGTCAACTTCTTAAACATCTCCAGTAGTCATGGCGAAATCGTGGACGTCTTCCGCGGTCGCACCTCACGGTTGTGGAGACATCATCACCGTCTTCCGCGATCGCGTCAACTTCTTAACAACACAACTCCCGTAGTCGTGGCGAAATCAAGAACGTCTCCTGGTCCTGATGAAAAATAATGAGCGACTCAAGCGAAAACTGGACTATTTTCGGCGGCCAAAGCCAGACCAGCCACCAGCAGCGCGCTCCGTCACAAAAACACGCGTCT